GGGGCCTGTCAAACTTCAGTCCGTCTGAAGTGAAGCTGAAGTCACGCTGAAGACTTCAATGAAGCGTGAGACAGCAGCCCTCATTTGGCCAACTGAGAGAGATAATGGGTGAATCACTCAGCAGACGTTGAGCTTTTGTCTCTCGTTTCTTTTCTATCACAAATTACAAACCTTACAGACTCTGTCTGACACCAAAGATGCACATTTTGGCTGCAGTAGGGTGGTAAACCGCGTCGACGACGGCCGTCCTCTCCAGTCCGGCAACTGCCGGTCTCAAGGCCGACACGGGCACGAAGTCAACCACGCGAGCGGGCTTACCCACTTCGTGTAGGTTTACTCCTTTCGTCAGTGGAGTGGTGGGACTGAAGTCATCTTGAAGCCTTCAGTGTGACTTCATGCCACGCTGAAGCCACTGAAGTGGGTGCTTCTTGAAGTGAAGTGACGTGTCCCTTCAGCTTGGCTTCACTTAACGAGCAACACTAGTGCCGTGGCTTGGAAATGACCGGTGATTGCCGGGTGGCTTGAATGTACGTCCGGACGTCGAGCAGCCTGTAGATACAAGGGAACGTCCCATTCAAAGAGCATACTACTCGGGGGGGAATCTAGTATAACGAAAAATGGTGTTAGACCCCTTTTATTCACTTAGAGGCATGATGGGATTTAATTCACGGTTGGTTTTGAAAGTGTGGTAGCAATATTAATACAGTGAGTACATCGCACCCAGGCCCTCTCCCAGAGAATCCATGCGTATATTCCAGATAAGAAGATCACTATTGAGTTACAGTCTTGTCGTCCGTCAAAGGGGGCATGGATCCCTCTAACCTTCAGGTCCAGTAACGCTATTAAATTTCGAGGATACAGGGCCAGGCGCTCCTGAGTCTTGCGTGGAACACGAGTACCAGACGTGTTGCACCGTGCCTTAGAAAGCCTGTGGCCGAAGGCAGAAGAGCCGACCGGTCGGTAGGCAGCATACGTACGATATCAACCCAGAACGCTCGAGCGGCACTTCACCACAGCGGGTAGAGGGTGTTCACGTGGACGAGCATGCAGAGATAAACCCGCTCAGGATTCTATGCAGAGCTGCCTGCTGCCATGGTAGACACCCGAGTACCGCCATAAATCTGCTGCACATACGGCGGAAGTGAATCCAACAAGTAAGGGCCTTGATGTGCCATCAATGGCCGGAGCATATTCTAATCGGATAGACTGAGCATTTAGTATGAGCCAAAGAATACTTGGAGACTACCTATCTCACAAACGAGGAAGACGAGCAGGTTCTGGCTGTAGAAGGCTAACGAGGTACATCTCGGTGAGTGAGCAGGAGGCAATAGAAAGATAATGCTGTAGCGGCAACCGGGAGAGTATCAGTAGTCACTAATAGAAGCACAAGCCAGTTCACCGAGTATTCCATTATTAATAGGAGCATGGATTCATCAATTACGGCACATGACAACTTCAGCTAACTTCAGTCAAGGGGATCAGGGCGGATATCGCGTAAGGATATGATTATTGACTAGACTTAGCAAGCGGTGGCTTGGGATCGGGAGGGAGGGGCACAGTTACGCATGGCGCCGTTGCAGTCGCCGCCCAGACTAGAATACCCAGACTTCCCTGCGGAGATCACATGGGGCACCCTGGACGAAGAAGCAAGAGAGAAGGAGCATGCTCGGCGGTAGAAAGACCGGTGGAAGCTCCATCAATCTTCTTCGTGGTGTCATTCATGCTTCTGCTTTGAATGGTTTTCAGGGAGTCGTTGGGATGTGCCTCCTTTTATACACGGCGAGCCGTTCCAGAAGGAGGCCTACCAATCTCCCGATCGCCTGTCAATAAATACAGGAATCGGGCTTTGTGAAATCATTACAAGTCTTTCGCCCTTTCCGATCAACAGGTAACCTATCGGTATCTGTCTCTCAACGGGTGCGGCACGTTCCACGCCCATAAGGCTTCACGAAAGTTACCGCATGACCCGAAGGATCGCGGCCCTAGTGATCCAAGGAACAAGAGTCGGGTTGACGGCTTTCTATAGAATGTCAGATGTCGAAATATTCCAAGAGCCCACTGATATGTACCAACCGGTCAACGAGCTCTAGACAGACGACAAGCATACCAAGAATTCGAAAATGTCGTGACGAGAGGGAAAGTGTGCAATAGCAGACGTTGGTGGAGGCCATTCAATGATTGTCAGCGCCTTAACCTTCACAATAAGATTCAGAGCATTCGGTGGAACGCACGGGATGATGGAAGCTGGGTCTTCCGCCTGCCTGCAGGTGAAGGGGAAGCAGACGCGACGGACTGAGTAGACCTGGCATTCAGCGAGGCGGCAGAGCAGCAGGCCTTCGTATTTGCCGGTGGATGGGTCTCTCTGTAGGCCAGGGCTCCATTGAAGATCGGAATCACCGCACCTGGAGTGTTCGAGACGCGGCCCTGTCCGCCCATTGGGTCCCAACTTGCCGCGAGCGAGGATACCTTCTGGCGAGAGGCACTGTTCACCGTTTAGGCGTGCGACGACCTGATTCGGCTGCTTCCCCATTCGTCAAACGTCGGATGGCAGAGCTGCGGAGAGAGGTGGCCAGTGGACCATCCTGGGACGTCAACAGCGAAACAAGATAGCGGCAAGCCAGTCGAGTTCCGGGATGGGATGACTGGAATGCCTATCGATCGACAGGAGCAGCAGCCAGCGGAGCAAGTAGGGTGAGAAGACGCGCCTGACATCCCCCTCATGGCCAGCCTGCAGGGAGCGTTCCAGAAAAATATACGGACATAGTGAAGCAGCGGGGTGCAGCGACGCGGAGTGTGCATTACGTCGCCTACCTCACACCTTGCTGGATTGTGGGAGCAGTGCACCCAGTGGGGAGAAAAGATGAGTACGCTTTTGAACCAGTCTGCAGACCTCAGGTGTTCTAGCCGCAGCACTGAGCTTGTCAACCATCATTGACCACCGCGAAAATTTGATCGAAGGCAGGAGCTCGCTAGCATCGATGTTCGCTCTGAATTCGACATCCTAGGAACAACTTCACGAGCGTGGCATCGGCGGCAACTGCATCATGTCCGAGAGATCGGCTAGCGCGGTCTTCGAGAACCCAAGCATAAGTGGTTTCTTCCTGAACCTGTTTTTACAGTCCTATCGGCCTGTACACCGTTGTAAAATTAAAACGGGGGCCAGAATATTCTTCGCAGCGAGGACCCACGTATCAGAGTGATTTCTGCTCGTCCCTCACAAATTTGCGAGAGTTGAATCCCAGATAATTTAACTTCGCCGTGTAACGGTTCTAAGCCAGTTTAGACAGGTAGCGAGCCTACTAACAACGCAAGGCTGGCGCCCATCGGAACGGTCGAGATGAGGTATGGTTGATATCATGGCAAGCCTTCCCGTCGCATTGACAGGCCAAAACTTACGAGGCATAGTACTTACCATGAGCAGCAACTATATCCCCTTGGGCCCTATATCGTCAGGTCCTGGCAAGACAACATAAGCTTCTCTACGGGACCGTGAATTAAACGAGTTCGCTTGCCGAAGGGCGCTGGGTTAAGGTATTAATGTGCGATCTTGGAATGAACGCCGCACGGCACGTCGCGAGTGCCGAAAGAGGCAGGTATAGGAAAACAATAAACTGTTCGGTTTCATTCAAAGTCAGCGGCCGCTAATCAGATACATGCTCCCATGAAAGCTATATACTTGCCTTCGATGGGCTCTTACGAGCGTTTCCGAGCCGTTACAAAGCCTGGCAGGGTCCGCACACAGCGAGAGACTGACAGCTCCAATCAAATCCGCTTGTGCCTCTGACCATGGCCACGACAATCGTTTCCTCGCCCGGCAAAGTCTTGCTTGCGGGAGGCTACCTCGTCCTTGATCCAGCTTACTCTGGCGTCGTCGTGTCCACCTCCTCGCGTTTCTACTCCGTCATCCGAGGCGAAGGTGCAAGCGGTCCACGTGGCTCGAACCCAAACCTTTATTGGATAAGGGTGCGATCCCCCCAGTTCTTAGATGCTGTGTGGGTGTACTCGGTCGAGGTCGGTGGAAACGCTGTTCGGGTAGAACAGACCACAGACGAGTGAGGACAACTTCCCCTTATTCGCGAGCAATCGTTCACGTTAGCCGGAAGAGCTGGATCCTCCTTTTCCAAGAATAAGTTCGTGCATCTTGCGATTCAACGTACCCTCTCCTTAGCGTTGGAGATCCGAGGTGCAAATGCCCTCAAAGACGCTCTCTCCAACGGTCTTGACATAGCGATCGTGGGGGATAACGATTTCTATTCCCAGCGAGCGCAGGTTCGGCAGTTTCGTCTGCCGTGCTATACGCGTTGCATTAATCGGTCTTAACAGCTCCAATCTCTCGGACTCGAGCCCGTATTCTCCTCACTATCTGCACTTCCCCCTTTCAGCAAGACAAATGTGCGCCTATCGGACGTGCACAAGACCGGCCTGGGGTCTTCTGCTGCGTTGATTACTTCGCTAGTTTCGGCACTGCTCGTCCACACCTCGGTCATATCACGGGGGGCTCTACTACAAGAGCAAGATGCCATGACCAATACTGACCGAAGACTAGCACATAATCTGGCACAATATATACATTGTCTTGCTCAAGGCAAAGTTGGCAGCGGCTTCGACGTCGCAGCCGCTGTATTCGGCAGTCAAGTGTACACCAGGTTTAACCCAGCAGTCCTGCAGACACTAATGACTGAGGATGCGGTGTGTATCATCCTCCATCGTAGAATTCAGTGCATTAATCATTCCAGATTCCAGGCCCCTCCACAGTTGCTGCCTGTCATCTCACCGTCAAATAAAGCGTGGGACTATCGCGTCGAGCCCTTTAAGCTGCCCCCGCTGACTCGCCTCATGTTGGCTGATGTCGATGCTGGGAGTGACACGCCGTCTCTGGTCGGAAAGGTGCTCAAATGGCGTCAGGCCGATACTATAGCCTGTTAGTGGATCGTCTGCATTCATGCATTACTGGAACTCATGCAGGTTTCGGAATTCAGCCCACCAGCTGTGGGAGGACCTAAACAAGACGAATCAAGCGCTATGCTCACAGCTGCTCAAGTTGTCCCAGCTGCACTCTCAAAACCCCACTGCATACACCGCTGTAGTCAAATATATTTCCACCATCCAACCGCTACAGGTGGGTCGAAACCTATTCGTTGGTGTGGTGATTAATTGGACGTGCTCCAGTGGTTGGCGAATCCTAATACCAAGAGAGGCGAAGGCCAGATTGTAGAGGCATTCTACCAAGCCCATCTAATTACTCAGGTCGGTATATCACCGTGGTAATTTTCCAGGAAATTTCCTCGAGTACTTAAACGACCGGCCAGGACATTCGTTCTAAAATGCGTCAGATGGGAAAGCTTTCTGATGTCCCAATTGAGCCGCCAGAACAAACCGATCTTCTGGACGCCTGTGTCGCCCAAGCTGGTGTCGTTGGAGGAGGCGTTCCTGGAGGTTTGTCCAGCTGCTGATTTATCCATACCATATATTGACGGCTTCAAATCCTTAGCCGGTGGATACGACGCTGTATGGCTTCTGGTGTGTGATCCTGCAGGGCTGGAATTCGAAGAGAAGCCCATGCATCGTGTTGGCCGCGTCTGGCATACATGGAAAGACCTCGTGGTCACCCCTCTAACCTCCTCCGAAAGTCTGGCGAAAGGTGTCCGCTTGATAGAGAATATTGATGAAGTCGCCGGGTTGAAGGAAGCTACTGCAGTCTAAATCATAGTACCGTATAATATGGTTCCAATCACAGTGTATGTCCGCTGTATCGAGTCCATCCGTATCTTAGTCAGAGCAATAGACCCTCACTTCCATCGGAAGTCGTGTGCTACATCATGCAGATTTTTGCGTCCCCTTCTGGCGTCCAGGCTTTGCCAAGGGCCAGGAACAATGAGATACAAAGCACGGTGCCGCCAAATGCTGCGCAAACAGCCGCTGGGAGCTTCTTACGAGAATACCAGGGAACCAGCGGGTCGCTTAGCTTCATATAACAGGCAGCTGGGAAGATATATGCAAGTGCGGTAGCTGAAACCCCCCCAGTGATCTCCAGCATGACACCAAGGTCGCAAGTGATCAGCGCAACTACAAATGACGTTTTAGGGTCATCATCTGGCCAAGCGCGGCTAAGACGTACTGAACATCGACGCCACAATGATACTAGTCGTGAAGAGGACGTGGCGTTGAAGGTTGAACGGCTCGTGTGAGAAGAAATACTGTTCAATTGTCTGTATTGCGTTAAACCAGCATCATCGGGTGCGATTCGACGGGAATCTTACCTCTCTACAGACAAATAACTCTAAGGGCAGAGTTGTAAACATATTGAGCCCGAAGCAAAATCGGGCTAGGTTGATTAGAGTGTCATTCTGCCTCAAGGTCAACGTGGGCCCGAAGAGTTACAATCAACTGTCACAGTACGCACCCCAGAAAAATTGTTCAGAATGTTGCCCTGGGTCTTGTCGGTGAATTGTATATATGCAGATATAGCCAGCGTGCAACAGCAGACCAAGGATATTATAGTCGAGATGTGGGTCACCAGTGCGAAGCGGTCTAGTGTCGGCGTCCGCAGACTTCCATAGATCAGAAGGGAATTATGATGGCAGACGAATGCAAAGCTGATGACGCCGACTGCTTGAAATATCCCCGGCCCAATGACTGAGAACCGTTTATCGGGGTCTCCTTTCAAGGCCGGGGCAACAGAGGGCGCCTTGATCATGACAGAAGACACGATAACGATCATCCCGACAAGTGCGAGGCCGGACGCCCGAGCGAGTTTGTGAATATCTCGGTAGAGGGACAGGGGGTAGGAGACGCCGAGTGTGCAGAGTGCAATAATGAATTGCCGCTTTGTCAATAGTGACAGGACAGGGACAGTGTGTAACGATGGGAATATTGATCGTATGACGTGAGGTATAGTGTCACCTAAGTCAACTGAGAACCACGTTTGAGCGGTGAAGAGGTGAGAGAGGTACGCACCAATAATGATGCCAAACGCGCACATTCCTGAGGTAGCTGTCAGTCAGTGGCAGTCAGGAGCAAATGAGACTCACCGCCGAATGCAAATGCGAACTGGAAGAATGACACTGCGGCACGACCGCTTGAGCCAAAGCAGCGATTCATTATGTCAATGTACGAATTTGCACCACTCATCTTCGCGTTAATGACAATCAAGCGGATCGTCCAGTCCGTCACCGCGCATAGTACAATGAGAAGTACGATGCCGGTAACTAAACCTGCTTGTCTCATGGCATACGGCAGACCTTGAAGATGCCATGAGATACAGTCGTTCAGTATTACCAAGAAAAATTCACACCAATTATGCCTGCAAGACTGAAATGAGCATATATTTCAAGGCTTGTCTAGCCAATTAATTACAAGGGCATTACCTGCCCCAAGAATCGAATTGGCCATGTTTGCTATGGAATCGAATAAGCCACCACCCGCATTTCTCTTGGCGACCAACTCGTCCAAATCAATGTGCCCGTTTGTGGCACCGTCCACACCTTCTTCATGGAGTGGAATGGCAAGTTCCAAGCTTCTTCGGGCTGCAGATGCATCAAGGAGTCCCACCAGCAACGGCATGGTTTGCGCTGAGCGTCTTCCTGAGCGAGATGACCGATCATTGCTCCGAAGCTGGTCAGGATATTCACCGTCCAGATCATCGTTGTCTAAGTCAAAGGCTACGATCCAAGCCCTCCACGTGAGCTAATTTCTAGTGAGACGCCTTCGCAATGATCCAGGAGGACGTACCTGTTTCTCGACTTTGCGTAGTCGAGCGTAGAGGAGGCGGTATGACATGGACATCCTCATCGAACCGGACCGAATGCGTTCGTCTGCTATCCTCTGGTGTTTCCAAAGCGCTCTCCTCGATGTCGAATTCCTCATCCGCGACTGCAAACAGAGTCCGGTCATCCGACGCAGACTCGTGCTCAGCTAACAGAGGCTGCCCGGCCTCTCCTTCTCTCCTCGGCTCGCTCTCTCGAGTCGATCGTGCAAACATTCTACTCACTCGGTATCATGAGAAGTAAAGCAGCCTTAGAGCAGGTCCGGACTTTGTTCGAGTCGCCAGCAACAGGAGTAGCGCCTGCAGATGTAACTGCCTTGTAGCCAGCCTGTAGCCGCCTGAGAACAAGGACTTGATGACCGTATTAGGAAAGCCACGCGACGGAAGCACAGGGCGCGTCCCTGCCTAATCATCCAGAACGTCGGGAACAATAATTTGATTCTCAAACGTTGCTTTCGCTGGACGAACGCCTACGGCAGATGCCTCTCTGACATCAGACCGGACGGATTCCTTGTTTGTAAGTAGGAAGCCGAAGTTGGTGGCGAACGGTTCGGTCTGGATTCCATCGCATCCTCAGCTGTCGACCACTCGTTATGTCCCATACAAGCCTCCTCTACCCTCTGCTATACTGTGCATTCATGTCCCTCGGATCTGTGAATGGCCAACTGGTCGCTGCAGATGTACTGGCTTCCCAGTATTCCTTGGCGACTAGCACTAGCCTCGCATTCCCCTCAGCTACGCAAAGTAATTCTGACACTCAGTCTTTCCTCGTGTCCAACTGGGGATTGAGCAAAGGCCGAATCCAAAACGGCGCCTCTGATCTGCAGTTCGTCAATGACCCATTTGCGAATGACCCCGCCCCCGGGGCTTCAAGCAATCCCGATGTTTCCGGGCCTGTCTTGCAAGTGACTTATCCTAACGGCAGTTACTCCCATGACACTGGCGGTGCTCAGCTCTACTCCCTGTGGAACGCATCGGACTCCTCCTTCTTATCTATGATGGTATCGTACGAGATAGCCTTTGATTCCGGGTTCGACTGGGTACAGGGAGGCAAGCTGCCGGGGCTTAGGGGTGGTCCTAACCCCGATGGCTGCTCGGGCGGGAGCAATGCCACGGATGGCTCTGATTGCTTCAGCACCCGACTTATGTGGCGGAAGCAAGGTGAAGGAGAAAGTACGTCCGCATCGCAATTAATCCCATCTTGAAATTCATGAAGTGTAGTCTATGCGTACATCCCAACTTCTAACGGGATTTGCAAAGAAAATGATATAATATGCAACTCTGACTTCGGTACTAGCATAGATCGTGGAGCTTTCAGCTTCGCGAGTGGGCAGTAAGTCTCGGAACTTGCACCGCAGTTGACTCTGAATGATTGACGTTTCACCTAGATGGAATAGGATCACTCTTCTGGTTCAGTTAAATAATCCGGTAAACGTGGCGAACGGCTTCGTGTCGTTATAGTCAGTGTGACCCATGATCCCGACGTTGCAATAAGCTAACCGGTATCTTCACAGTTACAACGATGTCCATGCGATATCGCAAGATAAATTGCAATTGCGAAGCAGCGACGTTGTTACCGCCGGCGGGTTGTATCTATCGTAAGTGACCCGCCTCATGATTTTCCACCGTTTTACTCACCTCGTATCTTCTTGTATTCAGCACCTTCTTCGGAGGTGGGAATTCAATGGAAGTACGGTCTATTGCGACTAACGGAATTACCTTGCAGGAAGCGATTATTCATGGGCGACACCCCAGACCACTCACACGTACTTCCGTAACTTCCGCCTATGGGGGAGCTCTTCACCCTCGAATCTGACTGGTTCCAAAGTTAGTGCTGCGAATAAACTGAGTAGTGTGGAGTCGCGCGTCCGCTTGCTTTTCTTGCCCTGGATACCTTTCGCAGCCGTATTCTGTGCCGCAGGTGTGCTTTGACGTCTTCGCCGGAATCCAAATCTGCGTTTATACGGTCGACCTACCTTATCTCCCTACATACCGCATCATCACTGCTCTGAGAATGATTCTGCGCTCTTGTGGTGTATTTGTCACACGTCCTATTGCACTGATCAAGACTTCACACGCGCCGATAAGCTCAGGCTCCGTCTACTTGACATAGGAAGGCGTTTCTTCCCGGGATCCGCAGAGGTTCTAGGGAAGAACTGAGGACGTGAAGAACGAAGTGTCTCTGAACAATGGAAGATTCATCGTCAAAGAACGCAGGAGGTGAGTGCTTCCACAGATCTCATCGGCATTGAGTGGTACGTATCTCTCTCAGCCTGAGCACGTTGGCGTTTACTGCTCAGGCTACATACACGAAATCCTGGAATACTTAGAGTATCGCTAGCCGTGGATAAGAAGGCCTAGCGCCTAGATAGGCATGGCCACTGCCAGGTGCAGTTCCCAAATGTTCGGATCACTCCAAACATTCACCGAGGGCCAGGAGGTTATGGTTACTGCTTTGACAAGTTTAAACCTTCAGTCATCAGCAACTGGGCTTCACAAGTCCGCAGTTCCACTTTACACTTACACGAAGTTGCGGGTATGGTGTGTGCGACTGACGGGCTTACACGGTTGCAGGATGAAAGGCGCCATCTGCATCAATCCAGTCGACAAGCAATTATGGGTACACCAAGGATAGATTCCTTGGCTGAGGCGATTCCGAGCGACGTGCTCCAGGTCGACCTTTCTCGGCCTGGGAGTGAAATCGGGACGCAGCTTCCTGCCCTGAACCAGTTCTACAGCTTGATCGCAGTAAGGAGTACGCGGAAAGTCCTCCGACCTCCTCCTGGAATGCGGTAACATTCCACCGAGGATCCCTTGCAGCTGTGCCTCGGGCTAGGGGTGCTCCATGGCTGGCTTGATGTCGCTCCACTTCACATCATAGACCATCCTAACTAACGGCCGTAGGTCGAGCGGCACGGTTCATGTCGAGGGTGCTTAGAATGGGCGGAACCTTCGTACGTATGTAAATGGCTTCACGACTATCGTTCGACGCGGTCACATCGGCTGTCAAGAAGGACCTACAAGGACTAGGGAAGGCGGTATCGGCGATGCGAAACCGTAGCGGAACATTACTGAGAAACGGACTAGTCTTCGCCGATACGCAGCAACCCAGGGCTGTTATCCACAAGTCTGCAGATGCAAAAGGTGTCAAAAGTTAGACGTTCGAATTCATACACCATGCTCTATTCATGTCCAACAATCAACCATGCCAGTGGTTCTCGGAGTTGGCAAAGAAGCCGCCGTCATGCGCATCAAAACTACATCAGGGAAAAGCGTATTGATCCCACTGATCCGAGACCCCACTTCAAGGTCCACAGCCACAAGTGTCAAAGTCAAGTGGCCGCAGTGAGCGGTGGAACCGCCGGGCTGTACGATCATGTTGCATAGAGTTATCGAAGCCAGCCGCTTAGGGTGCGATGATGGCTCCATCCTGTGGCGGACCATTGCGATGTATATGAATATCTGCGCCTTGGTGGCCCGCCCGCCTCTCTCCTCCCCTCACCCTGAGCCCGCCTCCGTACGGTAAGGACCGCTCCTGACCGTCCCACTGTGCTACCTGGTGTGCTTAGCATGGCACCAGCCAATGTCCACGTAAGTGATTTCAGTGCAGTAGATTCCTCTTCAATTGATTCATATTGCATCAGACATTATCCAAGCGCGAGAGCACAACTCTGGCCGCCCCCATTATTGTGGGGATTGTCGCGGGGGTTGTAGCTTTCTTCCTCATACTCCCGCTTGCATGGCTCCTCGTCTGGAGGCGATGGAAGAGGCAGCAAGTGCATAAGAAGCAGCCTCAGCCAGTGCGGCGCATGAGCTTGGATTCTAAATCTAGCTTCGACCTCCCACCCGGGCTGTCGAAGATTGTTCCCGATCCACCTTTACCCTCACCAAAGAGCGAGTCCAGATACTTTTCGATGCTATCGTCTCTCCAGCGCTCGCCGTTGCTGCGGGACTCGGAGATATGTCCGCCATCCTTGGCGCCGCCTTCATCCCGCAATCCCCCAGGGCTTGCAACCCATTCACGACCTCCGTCGATCGATGAAGAGTCCGAGAAGTACACGCTTGCGGTAGCTAAGCGGTTAAGTACCAGATCGGCGCTGATGCGCTTCAAGCCCAGCCTCAGCCGCTCGAGTTCGACCACCTCCGCGAGTGTCTACTCCGTCGCGTCCGCCCCAATATCCGAGCACGAGCGCATCCTCATGCAGGCGTCTCTCCAGCCTATGCCTGTTTCAGCACCAGCATGGATGGCTTCGATGCCGAGACCCGAGATGGGAGCAGGTGCGTCCGCGCCCGCGCCAGCGGGGAGGGTGACTGGTGTCAGACCGTTGCCGCCCATTCTCATCCCTGGAAATGGGAAGACATCCCAGCCAGCGGGTCGTCGTCTCAGCGCGCAAGTGCGCAAGCTGCCGGCCATTCCGGATACGGCGTCCTCGAATGACCACTCTCGCCCGCTATCCATGGATCTTGATTTCCCAGTGATGGCACCTACCCCATCCACCGACGATGGAAGCCAAAGGGATTCGCCTGCGCGTCCCAAATCTCACACATCTTGGGCTCCTGCACTTGACATCTCTTCGTTTGCGGCGGCTGGTCGTTCAATAATGAGTTTCGTGGCCCCAGCCTCCCCCGCCCCATCACCCGCTCCCTCCGACTCTACAGGGTCCACCATCAGACCTTGGCAGCCACAAATACCGCCTGTTGCACCGCTTTTTATAGCAACGCGTACCAGCGCCGTCCTACCCGATCGGGAGGGGTTGTCGGCCTCGCCACCTCACGTCTTGCCTACGCTCCAGGCTCCTCCGGACGTGCCGGCCCCGTCGGTGCCTGCTAGGTCGCCCATGCGTGGAGCGTTTGCGGTGTAAACTGTGCTCACGATTAAACGCCCGTCACTTATTTATTAGTGCATATCTGATCGTTATGATTCGCAAGTGTACATTACCTTCAACTCGGACTTGGCGACTTGCATGAACGCTGGACCATTTTCACCGTAGCTGCTGCTCTGACTTACGCCCTGTTACGCTCTTTTGTAAATTATTTATTCTCATTACCGTAGAGTCCATGTGTGCACTAATAGCTTTGCGATACATAGCAATTATGTTCCTCCTGCCAGCAGGAAGCTGTAATGAAATCCATTCGTGTTGATGCCACTTGAGTAGGGTACAAAAGAATATATGCATGCGATGCGATGTCAGGTTAATACCCTCCCACGAGAAGAAACATTTTGGAAAGCATCTTCAGGACTAAGACGCAGGTATTGGTTTCTCTAGCCCAGAAGGTGTTCCCGCCACAGCGACCAAATGAGGTGGTCCGAGTCGGGTCCACGGAGTACCCAGTGGACCTCCGGGTGACTATATAAGCGGCTCAGGTCTAAATTTGGAAATAGACGCGTCTCATTGGACCTGCGTAATGGCGGCCAAGATCTCAGGCGACGCCGACGAATCCGGTGCGGTCGTTCCCAATGCATATGATGTGAGCTCTCTTACACTTACGCGCCTCCTTCGCCATGTCTCTCGTACCGAGGACGAGTGCGCTCACCCGCGCGTTGGCACGTTCGTATGCGACCCTGCAGGCGGCCCCGCGCTCCGGCAAGAGGTGAGAGCGCCTTGTACTGAGTCCGGGAACGCGTACTGACATGTATGCAGCCCGACAGGTACGCAGGAATATTTGTGCGGTTTTCTATGACTGGGCTGAAAGATTCTTGGAAGCCATCGTTATGCTGAATATGGGAGGGCCTTCGACGGTGCGTATACGCGTGTGTGCCATGCTGCATTGTATTGAATCGAAATGGGCGTCTGTCATGTGAAGGTTACGGAGACCCACGATTTTCTCAAGAATCTCTTCCTCGACGGCGACCTCATCCCCCTGCCCTTTCAGAAGTACCTCGCACCTATTATCGCGAAGCGGCGTACCCCCCAGATCGAAAAGCAATATGCTGATATCGGCGGGGGTTCACCCATTCTGCGCTACACGCAAATCCAGGGCCAGGGCATGGCATCTCTCCTGGACGAACTCAGCCCTGAGACGGCGCCGCACAAGAGTTACGTCGCGTTTCGGTACGCGAAACCATTGACGACGGAGACAATCCGACAGATGAAGGAGGATGGGGTGAGGCGCGCGGTCGCCTTCACGCAGTACCCGCAGTACAGCTGCAGCACGACCGGAAGCAGCTTGAATGAGCTGTATAGGAAGGGCAGGAGTGGTGAGACTGGGGAAGGGGTGGAATGGAGCGTGATTGATCGCTGGGGCACGCATCCTGGGTTCATCGAGGTATGTTCGCTGCTTGTCAGGACCATTGCTTTTGTAACACCGACGTGACGTGGTGGTAGGCAGTTGCGCAGAACATTGAGCGAGCCCTTCAAAAGTTCCCTGCATCAGTCCGCTCGTCTGTCGTGCTCCTCTTCTCCGCGCACTCCCTCCCGATGTCCGTCGTGAACCGTGGCGATCCTTACATCCTGGAAGTCTCGTCGTCCGTAAACGCCGTCATGGACCGTCTAGGGCACTCCAATCCGTACCGTCTAGTATGGCAAAGTCAAGTCGGTCCGTCGGCATGGATGGGAATGCAGACCGGCGAGGCGCTCAAGGGCTTGGCCAGGCTGGGAAGAAAGAGAGCAGTCCTGGTCCCAATTGCTTTCACCAGCGATCATATTGAGACGCTGTACGAATTGGACCTGGAGTACGCGAAGGAGGCCAAGGAGGTGGGTGTCCCTGTCTTTCTCTAAGAAATTTTCCTAGACACTGAATACTCTCCTTGTCCAGCACGGCATGGAAGTCGTCCGCGCCGAGTCCCTGAACGATTCCCCGGTGTTTATTCGTGCACTGGCCGATATCGCGGCTGACCATCTGAAAAAGTACCACGCGGGACAAATCGGCCCTACTTCGATACAGATGGGACTTCGCTGTCCCGGCTGCACGAACGTCGTCTGCGCGCAGCAAAAGACGTGGTTCGCGAGGGCCGGTCGATGAAGGTTGTCATACGCGTTACTTCGCGTTCTCGGGAGAAATCGTGCTTTTCTTCAGTATTTTGGACTATCTTGTAGCGCTAGGGGGGTTTCTGACTTATCCAGTAATAGATTTAAACTCGTTGTTTGCTTGCTGTATCACACCTCCAGTCATACACAACACGCGGTAATAAGACGCTATATTGACAATCTTCTATAATACGCCGTCTATACACAGTTGTATTGCCGTCTGCGCGCTGCTCCAGCAATTACGAGAACCCCATAGCCATGGTCTGCCACTCTTGCTGCACCAACTCCCGTCTGATAACCTCCAACGGGACCCTATCACTCCTATCAACCCCATACCCCCTCGGCGCCGGCTCCCGCCCAGAGCTCACAAACGCACACAACCTCGCCGCCCCCCTCGCCAACGACGCCACGAGCCCGCCCCGGCCTCCCTCGCTCGAGCCGCTGCTGGACCGCGAGCGCGCGCCGCCCATGAGCGCGTCGTCCCGGAAGCCGGGGATGTACGGCGGGTGGCGGTAGTGCCGGACGAGCAGCGGGTCGTGCGTCGCGTACGGCGGAAGGTCCTCCGCGATGGCCGCGGGGTCGGCGTCCAGGTAGGCGTCCATGTCGCGCCGCGCGAAGAGCGGCGCGCGCCGGTAGTCGCGCTGGGTGTAGCGCGGCGGGGGCTCGGCGGGGTCGTAGGAAGGCGAGCGGTGGCGGCGGCGGCGGTGGGAAGAGGGATGGCGGCGGTGGGTGTAGAGGTCGGCGTTTGCGGGGGCGCGCCGGGAGGGGATGGGGAGGTCGTGTGCAGCGTCGGACAGCGGGTCAAAATGGGGGTTGGGATAGGCGGCTTCGCCGAAGTTGGGGTGCCGCCGGCCGTGGTGGACGTATGCCTGTGGGTCGGGGCTGTAGATGCGGCTGCTGTGGTCGTTCTCGGGGTTGGGCGCAGGGGGCGGGGGGCTGTTAAGGCTGACCGGTGGGGGCGTTGGCACAATGTCGGGATGCTGCGCGGGGAGGGCGGTGGTGAATTCAGGGAAGGCGGGGGGTGTGGGTGTAGAGGAGCCGGGGGTTCGGGAGAGGCCTGGAGGGAATATGAGACCTAGGCCTAGGGTGGTTCGCCCGCGAGTGCTGGTACGGTCGCGCGAAGTGTGGTTCGCGTCTATGGAAGGGCTGTCGTTGTGAGGCTCTTCGGGGGTGACAGGAGCGGATGAACAGAGCGGAACATTCTCTCCGGTGTAAGGGAAGTGAGGTTCAGCCGTGTCGAGATTGACCGGGGACACGGCTTCGTCAGCAGTGGTTGAACCATCCTCAATGTGTTGCACCCCAGGTGTTAAATGGGTAGCAGTTCCTGCATCCGGTTCCGGACCAGAATGGGTATCGGTGTGAGTGGTATCAGCGTCAGATGTATTCGGTACGTGAGCATGATGAGTGGTATCTTCCGTAGCTTGGGTATCTATTGAGGAACGAGCCTACGGAAAGGCAACAGGGAGGGCCACAAAGGAAACATGTTGAATATCACAGTCTAGCAGAGGGTGCCTGTACGCACCTGCTCGTTGCGCATGCCGCAAAACTGGCACGTACATCCTTCGACTTGGTGCGTCTCCGCCAGGAAGTTGTGGAGAAGCTGTAAGGTCGAGCATATCAAAATTGATGCCGCGAGCACTACGGATAGCTAACTTACGACGGGGTCAACCGGTCTGGTAGGAACCTGTCCTTGATTCTGCGGAGTGTCTGATGAGAACTGCGCCGAGAGAGACGAAGCACACACTTACCTCACGAGGACTGGCATGTAATGACGGGGTCTTCGGGGTGTCAGCGTCGTACGCCCTCTTCATGATGTTGAAGACAGCGAACATTCTGGCTGTCGAGGATGACGAGCGTTAGGTGGTACTTGGGATGGGCGCCTGGCCAAGCTGATGTAAATCCTTGTGTTGTACGGTTAGAAAGGAAGAGTCAGTGGGTCGAGAAGAGCGCCAGCGGAGGCCATTTTATACTGGGCCAGCGCGGTCCGAGAGGGAACGGGGAAGGGTAGAGCGCCTCTGTCCACGACGCCGTTCCATTTCGGACCGCGTCGCGAATGCGCTCGATTACGAATCCGACCGCGATCTTGCAGGGGGAAGGGGCGGGCCAGGAAGTGATATATTGGGCGAACGGGTAGCGACGTTCCGCGAGCCATTTGGTTGAGAGTGAAGGCCATCCATCGATCCGCTCAGACGCTCGCCGGGACCGCATAGAGGACATGCCAAGGCGTATATTGTGGTACACAAGTCCAATAAAAGCCTGCATAAGCCATACACGCGAGATACGGAGTGCCAGTGCAAGTTCTGTGCAAGTTCTGTCTGAGCACGACGTATGAGCTTTAGCATTGAAGCGTTAGTCGACTTGCAGAATTCGCAGAGACATCCTCCGTCCACCTTGGGGACGGCGCTGGGTGCGTAAGCTCAGGCAAAGCACTGGAAGAAACGAAAGACGATCCGAGTGTGGCGTGAATTTGTCGATCGCAATCGGCGCGTCTTCCAAAAGCCCTTTGTCAGACAACAGCAAATACCGACCAAGCTTTTACCGCCACGGTACTCTGCCAGGTGCTGCAACCAAGGTCTGTCTCTCGCCGCCATGGCTTTCTCTGGCGCCCTCGTACGTCTGGTCTAACGTCTCTTTCGCAGAATGGAGGCACTGATCTGGGTGCTGTAGACCTTGACGGATCTCAACGACTACATTACCCCCTCTCAAGCATGCATCAAACCGGTCGAGCAGCTAAACCCGGTCAAGGAAGCTGAAACGGAGCCTGGCGCAGCATCGGTGAGTGCACTGACATTATCGCAGACGCGAAGACGCTGACACCGCTCAGACCGCAATCCGCATAGACTCGGGCGGCGCATACTATGAAGTATCGACGGAAGACACGTCCAGGTTCTCCGCAAAGAAGCTCGAGCCCGCGCAGATCAGCCTGAACGACTGCCTCGCCTGCAGCGGCTGCATCACCTCCGCCGAGTCCGTCCTCATCACCCTCCAGTCCCACACCGAGGTCCTCAACTTCCTCGCGGCCAACCCGCCGCCCTCCGATCCCGCGCACAAGGTCCCCGTGCTGTCCGTATCCCCGCAGAGCCTCGCCTCGCTCGCCGCGTCCCTCGCATCGTCGTCGTCCTCGCCCCGCCCGATTCCCCTGCCCCAGATCCTCGCGCGCATCCGCAAGTTCGCGAGGGAGGTCCTCGGCTTCGAGCACGTCTGGGACACCACCTTTGCGCGGCACCTCGCGCTGCTCGAGCACGTCCGCGAGTTCCGCGAGCGCAAGGCGCACTCAAGTTCGGCGGGGAGCGGGAGCGGCCGCGACGACGTCGGCCGCCTCCCGATGCTCGCGAGCGCGTGCCCCGGCTGGATCTGCTACGCGGAGAAGACGCACGCGGAGATGCTGCCCTTCATCGCGCGCACGAAGAGCCCGCAGCAGGTCATGGGCGCGCTCGTCAAGTACTGGCTCGCGCCCAAGTGGGGGAAACGGTGCGTCCTGCCTCCCCTCCGTGTCCCTTCCGTGCGCACTGCGGATCGCTGACGGAAATGGACGCAGCCCAGACGGGGTGTACCACGTCGCCCTCATGCCGTGCTACGACAAGAAGCTCGAGGCGTCCCGCTCGGACTTTTACAACGAGCAGTACCACACGCGCGACGTCGACTGCGTGATCACGACCGGCGAGTTCGAGCGGCTCCTCCGCGAGAAGGGGTGCGACCTCTCCGTGCCCGTTCCCGACTCTGAAGAGGAGGAGGGCATCCCGGACCTGCTCGAGCACCGCGGCACGAGCTCCGGCAGCTACCTGCAGAGCATCATCGACGCGCTCTCCTCCTCCCCCTCGCATCCCCAAGACGGACTCACCCTCTCCACCTCGACGCTCCGCGCCGACCACACCACCTACACCCTCTCCGCCCGCGCCTCCGGGTCTTCCCAACCCGTATTCAAGGGCGCGACGTGCTACGGCTTCCGCAACCTGCAGAACGTGGTGCGGCGCGTCGGGCGCGAGGGCGGCGTGCGCGTCGCGCGCGGGGCCGCGGGGCGCCTCGCTGCTTCCAGTCGGGGCGGCCGCAGCGCGAAGCGCATCGGCGGGCGCGAGGTGGGCGCGGGCGGGGGGGAGGAGAAGGCGTACGACTACGTCGAGGTGATGGCGTGCCCCGGCGGGTGCGTGAACGGCGGCGGGCAGCTGAAGCCTCCGCCCGCGCTGGACGGGGAGGGGTTCGCGCGCGACTGGGCGGCGGACGGGGTCAAGCTCGAAGTGGACGGCGAGGCGGAGGGGGGGATGGAGGCGTCCGCGGGCGGGCGGGGCGAGGCGATCCAGGCGCGCTGGGGGAGCAAGGCGTGGACGCGCAGGGTCGAGGAGGCGTACTGGTCCCCGAGCTCCGAGGCGGCGAGTCCCCAGGAGAAGCGCGCGCGCGCGGACCGGCTGGCGGCGAGGGTGCTGGCGGAGATGTGCCGGCCTGACGGGGAGGTAAGGGACTGGATGGACACGATGGACGGGGAGGCGGAGGGACGCCGGAGGGAGTATTTCCGGACTAGTTACCGCGCGGTGGAGAGCGAGGTGGTTGGGCTGGCGGTGAAGTGGTAGCATAAGTATGCTCGCGCAGAGTGCTGTAGTGTAGTTTACAGATGTAGGCTGGGGTATGCATCGGGTGTGTCAATGACGTGATAGACATAAGGAATCCGGCCACGTGAAGTGAGCACTCGTATTACTGCGATATATACCGGGTATAACGGCGATAGGAATGTACGCGTCATTATACAAGAAATAAGTTACAATCCACCCATCCCCTCGTCTCTCCATTATCTCACCCCACCAAACCGCACCGACATCGGTATCGACACGGCTTCTCCCACCGAACCTGTAGGTTCAGGCACCGGCGCCGCCCCCCGCCCACGCCGCTTCGGCTTAACAACCAACACGACCACCAACAGCACGATCACCAGCACGAGCAAAAAGATGCACCTCCTCCGCCCGGTATTCTTCTGGTAGCGCGTAGCGACCTGCAGCTCGCGCGCGCCCTCCTCGACGCGCGCGGCGGCGGTCTCGATGTTGTACTCGACGCTGTCGAGGAGCGTGCCCTGGTCGATGACGAGCGCGGAGAGGTCCTTGAAGAGGTCGGCCAGGGCGGCGATGGAGTCCGCGAGCTGGTGCAGCTCGCGCGTGCGCGTGGCGAGCGCGGGGTCGGGCGGGAGGTGCTGAGGGGGGTCAGTGTGGTCAGATTAGTGAGGGGAGTTTGGTTGGATGAGGGGAGGGGGGACGGGGGGAGGAAGAGAATGGAGAGGAGACGTACGGCAAGGGCGGTAGCCTGGACGTCCTCGTCCAGCGAGTGCATCGCCTCGTGCCCGCGGAGCGGCGGCGAGATCGTCCCCGACGCGATGAGCAGGTCCTGGTTCTTGATCGCGTGGCCCTGCAGCTCTGTCCACCACACGCAATCAAGGTCAACATCCACACCACGGCGGGGGAGAAGGAAAGGCACGCACTCTCCATGTACACCCGCTGCTTCTTGCGGAAGACGCCGCTCATGTCCTGCACCTTCGCGGCGAGCGCGCGCTGCACGTTTTTCGCCGCGCGGGCTTCCGAGGTGTGCGGCCCCGGCGGGTAGGAGGCGGACGGGGCGGCGGTGATGCGCTGGATGAGGGTTTGCGCGGTGCGGAAGTTCTGGTGGGGTCGGCGGGGGCAGGATAGGCTAGGATGAGTGGGAAATGGGGGGAGGGGAGGGGGAGGGAGGACGCACCCGGGTGATCTCGTTCGTGAGGGACTCGATCTCGCGCTCCTCGGCTGTGCGGTCGGAGAAGCCGGGCAGGGCATGCTTTGCGTGGAGCTTGTCGAGGGTTGCGACTAGATGGTAGGTCATGAGGGGGGTACAGATGGTTAGCACAGGCCATGAGGGGTAGAGACACTAGCATGAGCGGGAGAAGCATGGAATGATAGGAATGATCGAGGGGTAGTAACCGCTAGAAGAGCAGGGATCAAGAAGTGGGAGAAGGGATACATGAGGTGGGGGACCGCCAGGCGGGGAGGAATAGGAAACGCAAGCCGAAGGATGATTTGCAGTGGAAGGAAGGCGGAGATGGACACTGACTCTTCTGTTTCGTATCCGCCAGAATCTCCTCTACGTGCTCCGTAATATCCACCCTGTGCCAGTCCGCTCAGTCGCCACCCGTAGTCATCACAATGCCGACTCACCACTTTGGCGGCAACCCCTCCCCCTCCACATCCAGCGCAACATGCCCGCGCCCATTCTGAGCACCACTCCCGCTTGCGCTCCCGGCAATCAGCCCCTGGCGCTCATCGTCCCCGGCAAAGGAGTCGGCGGGATCGTACTGGAAGCTGGCGCGATGCTTGGAGGTGCGCGGGAGAGAGTCGCGGTAGGAGCGGAAGAGGAGGGTGCGCGAGCGGGTGGTGGGCTCTGAGGGGGCGGGTGTTGCTGGGGCGTAGGCATACGACATGGATCGTGTAGCGGTGGGCACTCGGAGTGTGGCATTGAAGCCTGCGCGCAGTAGCCACGCGGCGAGCACGCTCTTGCCACAGCCACACTCTCTTCGCCCGTTCTTCGGCTGGGCTAGGACACGCCTTGTATTCTTCGTAGAACAAATACAACTATGATTAGTGACTGCAATGAATCTACGCTTCCCCCGCCTCGACCCTCTCCATAGCCTCCACCGCCTGCCTCGCCATCGCCCTCGCCTCCTCCCCGACCCCGCCATCCCTTACAACCTCCCCAAACCTCTTCTTCCACAGCCCCCATCTTTCCTTGCAAAATCCGCTCTTCCCCGTCCACACGACCCCGCCCCTCCCCGCCCGCCCATACTCCTCCGCGCTCTCCCAAATCGCCCGCCCGGCATACAAAAACCAGACCCCTGCCCCGGGCACCAGCGCCCCCTCCGCCCGCTCCTCCTCCAGCGCATCCCGCACGCTCCAAATCGCGTACAGCACAAAATCACAGACGCCCCCCGCGCTCAGCCGCGCCGCGAACGCGTTCACGTTCGCCCACTCCCCCGCGCCCATCCCCTCCCCGCCCATCCCCGCCCCGCCCCGCTCGTCCGGCCGCGCGTTCCACGTCTCGCGCATCGCCGCGCCCAGCAGCTTCGGCGCGCCCCACAGCCCGCGCTCCGCGAACACCCAGCCCCCCCGCGCCGCGTCCGCAGGCTCCGGCGGCTCCGCGCGCGCTTTCAGTCCCGCGACGACGTCGACGAGCGCCTGCTGGCGCGGGGACGCGTGCGGCGTGCGCTGGGCGGCCTCGATGGTCGCGTACCACAGGTCCCACAGCAGGCCCTCCACCGCCGCGCCGTCGCCCGCGGCGTAGGCGCGCTCGATCGGCTCCGCGACCGTCGCGACAGTCTGCGCGAGCGTACAGCTGCCGTCGAGGTAGGCGGAGATGGTGCGCGCGAGTTCTTGCTCCTCGGACATGGCCGCAGCGGGTAGTGCTTGCCTGAAGCCTGCCCCCGAGGTCGGTACATATATCGTCACTCGGGACCGATGCATAGTCACGAGGCCCTGGATCATAGCAGATCCTTGGTGACTAGGCATCTTTCCACGCCAATGAACACGCATGCCCATCTACAGAATAACATATCTCGCAACCCATTACGCTCCATTTCTCTATGCTAAGCCCTATACATACATTCCTTCTCTCTCTCTCTCTCTCCTCCCTAACCAAATATTTGATACATGCACAGCACGAGAGCAACAGCAACACAGCAAAGATAGATTACGTGACTCGGGTGTGGACTTGATGATGGCCATGGGCTTGGATCTTGGTGATGTGAGGTGTTCTTCGGCATGGACAAAAACACGAAGAAGATGGTGGGTGCGGAAGCGGAATGGAAAAATATTAAAATAGAATAAACCCCTCAGCGAAAACACAGCCGGGGGGGGGATAACAACGACGAGAGAATAGAATATTATATTGCAGTGAGAAAGCGAAAGCGGAGACGGATGACGACGACGTAGAGCCTGAAGGTTAAAGTACGCGGCCTGCTATCGACGCTGGGCCCCAGCGCCGCGGTACCAATAGTGGCACTCGGAGCAGTACTCGTCCGTGCGCTTCGTGACCGTTTCCTTCGCGTCCGGGCCGTAGTACTGTGAAAGCAGAAGCGTCAGATCCTTCCAGACATCGTCCCAGTTTGGACAGCGTCAACCAGAAGAGCAGGCCGGCGTCATCAGCCAATGAACGTGGATCACAGACAAAGTCCACGAAGAGCGCCGGTGTCACAGCCACAGCAGAACCCTGCATCCCGCCGATCTCCCGGACTGGGGCTCACCAGAATATACAGCGCTAAACGCCGTGAGGAATGGAGGGCCCTCCATAGGCCGGAACCTACTGCCCTCGCAGACAACCCCTGTGATAGACGCTGCCAGAGGTAAACGCCGTCACCCTGCACTCGATCCGACACGCCTGAACCCCAGATCGCACACCCCCACTCTCCGCCGCATTGAAGCTAACAGGAATGCAGGACACATACCCTCTCGCATTGACAGTTGGGGCACATCTTTGGATGTTTCGCCGAGTGTATGCAATACCGGTTTCCGCAGTCGATTTTCCGCACCTTGCGCGTCTACAAGGCCATCCGGTCAACGCCTGCGCATTGTCGTTCAAAGAGAACGATACGCACCACGACATAATGCTGGAGGGTAGAGAGACAAAGACATCCCAGAGTGACGTCAGCCCTACAATCGAGAGAAGCGCCGGAACAGCACGTACACCGCATCCGTACTTGGTACCTTCGCTGCGTGATCGGCGTCAGTCCCAGTGTCAACGGCGCGCGGGGATTGGATGAACAGCGGAGTCGACTCACGTTTCGAGGTTGCACATGATGTGCGCGGGCGTGATGGCTACGGGGACGTGCAGATGCGCTTGGGACAGCTGATTGCGGGATGGTCGTGGCGGCGAGTCAAGAGCCCGTAGCAGCGACCAGTTCGGCTCAAGACTGGGGCGGAACGCGGGAGGATGGGTCAGCAGCGGAGCGGGTTGAATGGGGTCTGGGCGGAGGCTCGGAGGCTCGAGACAGGGACAGGGGCGCCGGTATATATGTGGTGTGGACGTGCACCTGTCTGTGTTCCGTCCCGATAGCCTTTATACTCGAGTGCCTGCCGGGGCCAATACGAATTAGCAGCCACAGACTCGGAGGAGACAAGCCACGCCAGATCAGCCAGAGATCAGATCAGCCAGGGCCACGAGGGGCGGAGCCACAACGCTGGACGGAACAAGACGCGGCGCGGTTCGAATCCGAAGCGATCTCTTGATCAGACACGCGCTGCCCGGGCGGGAGAAGGGCGAGAGACGGGCCATGGGTTCGCGCCGCGAGCGACAGACGAAGGCTGGGGAAGAGGATGGAAGGGGGGATGGACGTATCAGCCGCGCCGAACCGCTGCGCGCGGGTGAACCATGGAGATGTGATTGGCAGTCCGAGTCCGAAGTCTGCCCGCGGAGCGACGGGTTCGGTTCCTGCTCCCAGGCCTGCATGCATCCGACATAACCTACCCGGCGAGAAGGCTTTCTGCAAGCAAACATCCGAGCGCGAATTTCCAGATTCCGGTGGTCGATAGAGTGCGCGCCAGGCAGCAGTCGGTCACAGGGATAGGACGATTGCCTGTGATAAGGATTTCCAAGCCAGCTGCTCTCTGCTTGCCCTCCGTGCCGATTCGGTTGGGCAGCGTTGGGAGGCGGATGGTAACGATTAGATCGGGTTTAGATACCGTGCCGCCTGCCCCTTTGTTTCAGCCAGGTCATACAGGCTACCCAACATCATGATCCTCGTCATCGTGTACGTTGACCTCCCCGCTGGACAAAGGAACCGGATATTCGTCCCGGAAAAATCACAGCTTTCCCTGGAGCTGCAACATAACACTCGGCGAATGCGTTGTCAATGCTTTCGCAGAGCCCAGAGACAGATATCACCCGTTAGGCGCGAGAGGCCGAAATGAAAAGAAGAGGACGGAGCTTGGTGACATCTGTCGTCGGCATCACACAGAGCGGCGCGTCTGGCAGACATTTCGTGAAACGGAGCGACCGTTGGTAACGACAAGGTGGAGACTCGACGTGCAGATTTAGCCTCTCCCGCTCGGTAAGTCGGCACGGTCATCCGAACGCCGTCTGGTTTGCCTCGAAGAGTAGTCAAGCGACGGCTCGGTTCAACTGGTGTGGCCGTTCTATACAATGCAGCCACACCCCCTTTGGCAATACAACGACGTATCGAGATGCAAAGGGACGACGCAGTGCGCTGCGATGACAGACTTTGCTAAATGCAGCTTAAATAATCGAGTCCTTCTAGCTACAGAGTGAACGGATGGAGACGTGAATGCACTGCTCAGTAATACCTGCCATCCTGAACGATAATTTGCGTGGACTGATCTGTACACGTAGCATCCCTTGGCCAGAGTGGAGGTCACGAGGCAAAACATCGCGCTCGCCACCTGAGCAGGGTCCACTGGCATGCCTTGATGCTGCGAGCACAGACTCCTCGGTATTCTCGTCGGGAAATAGCATCCCGTGGAATTCAGGGGGCCCAGACATCGATAAGGATTGCTTACTTGGACATTGAGTATACACTGGCAATATCAGGGTCCCCAGCGGCTCCCCGGGCAAGAGATTGCAATAGGCGCTGCCGCGCTGAAGCACTGTCGAAAAAGTTCCGTTCTTCATTGAAGCGGGCGCTTCCGCAGGCCATGCTATCTGAGTGCACCAGCTAAGGCGCCCTTAACCATCCTCACCGATCGAGTACGACGGGCGAGGACAAACATATCGAAGGGGGCGAAATATTCCCGGGACGACCGACATTACGTGGATCCACCAAAGGCAGCATCTGCTGCCGATCGGGGGACCAACGTGAGGTTGGTGGACAGCGCTGATGTCAATGCATGCGCGCGCCGCGGCTGGTCGCGCACCACTCTTGCAACCGCCTTCCCCTCTTGGGGGAAAGCACGGTGGTAGCGCACGATACAGAACCAATATGCAGGTCTACGCTGAGTCTGTGGCGAGGACGAGGACGTCTTCAAGCAGAGACTCAACCGCATATAGGCGAACCACTCACGAGGAAACATGCTTCCCCCTATGGTCTCATTTCAACAATCATCGCACCGCTGGAAATTATCGAGATCTCACTCGGGCAAGGAGGAAACCCTCCCGGGATATGGCAATCCTATGAAAGTGGAGACCTACGAACCACGTATCGATGATGGATCCCTATGTGCCCAGTGACCATACGAATGCATCGGTCAGCTGGGTAGAAATACTTTCGGCCCGCTCGCCGCAATATTGCCCCGACTCACTACATCATTTGAGCACCAAAACCTACGACTCATTTCCCTTCGATTGCTCCAGGATGGACTACTTGATCATGCTTCGAACAGACTCCCCGACCGTTCTATTAATCTTCCGAGCGCACGTGTAACCTAACTATATGCATTAGAAGCACCGACGTACTCACCGTTTGAAGCCGATGAAACTTTAGGTCTTATGCTCAGACGCACAACCTTCCCAGTTCCGTGAGTGTGAGATAAGGAAGGCGACAGCATGATGGAACGATCGCCTCGTGAGCTGTATATCATGGCGTGGCCGTGGGCCACAGAAGGTTCAGAAAATCGGATCCGACGCTTCACCGGGTGGGATACCCAGGGCTCTTCCCAAGTCCGTCAGGAGAGATGAAGGGTTTCGAGCCCTGTTTGACCTGGAAGAGTAGGTCAGGGAAAGAATCTGCCTGCGTCACCAGTGACGAACAGATGGAACGCATACAGCTGACACATCTTTCACAGCAGTGGATTCTAGTGAGTGAAGAGAACGCGGGTTTGCCACAGGCACGTCGTCAGAAGCACTTGCATGGATGCTTCATATCAGTGAGGGAACATTACACGATGCCCCCGGGCCTACGAACCGTATCTCCACTTCCCTGTATGCGGAATCTTGATATAAAGTTTCAGATGGTTCATTGCGATAGTGTATCTCGGACATCAATCCGGCACACGATCGACGAACGGGGACGGGCCATCTAGTTAGTTCGGTGTCTCCTTCCCCGTGCCTTGCGGGAGAAGACACAATCTTGACCATCGATGATTAACTCCAGACACGTGTAGGGCTGCTGTTCAGCTGATGAATGATTTCGGGTTCGATGGAATATCCTCATGACACCAGGAGCTGAGAATGCGACCAAGTAGAGCATGAAGTGCCCCGCAAGCTGGTGCAGTGGCGCCGGGCGAGCATGAAGGACGGAAATAGTGCACGTGCCTGATAGGTTTGCCTTGGTACGGTTGACCATCTGGGCCAGGTCAAATTCAGAAGTCGCCTCACAACTTCGAGGCTGCCTTAGGTTCGATCCTCGGCGTTGACAGCTTTCGGCCAATCCCGAAACAGTCTCTGAAGGTTGAATACATCTATCAATATTATGTACGTAGCGCGGCACTGAATTTTACAGTCAGTAGTGACTGTTCGATAATCAATATCGCTGTAGTAAAAGGGAGAAGAGGAAGAGGCACGGGACCACTACTCCGAGAGGATGCGAATCCCCAGCCCACATATTTCGGGGAGCGACGGGCGGAAAGACTTATCGGTACCGTTTAGTGCACATTAGTACTAACCGTATCCTTTAATGCTTCACAACCGTTTACACCTCGGGCTGCACAGTCCACCTGCCG